TTTTCATAAACTTACCCTTTCAACTACAATTTTTCGTGCTATAATAGATTTTAGCTAAATATAAACTACTTAGTTTTCAACAAAAACCTTATTCAATAGTAAATTTCAAATATTTTAAACATATTTTGAATAGGAACTTATATCTTTTTTACCATCTGTAAAACTGACGAAGTGGCAACCATCTAAAGGAGAAATCAGCTGACACGGAAAAATCTAAATTCCGCAGATTTCTGCGCTACGGGCTACAACTACAGAAAAATTCTGCGGTGTTGAGTTTTCATTTACATGGCGCTTTGGTAAGACAGATCGTGTCAGCTGACTCGGGTTTACGTACCGGTAGGTTTACGTTCTTGACTAATTTCAGCTTAAGAAATAGGCGGTCTCCATTGGAAATATATTTTGTGACATGGTTATCACGACATCAGTGTTTTCCTGTGGAGACAGGGCCTTAGCTTTGATCCAATAGCTCTGATCCAGTACTCCATGAACTTACAGGATTTTACACGAAGTNTGTGGACAGGGCCTTAGCTTTGATCCAATTGCTCTGATTCAGTACTCCATGAACTTGCTGTAAATGAGAGCGACTTTTGGAGAGTTGTGTAGAGAATGAAGTTGCAAGATTTTACCCGAACTTTTTATTCTGGTAAAATCATGAAGTGTCAAGCAATCACTGGTTGACGTTTTTACAGGAAAATGTTTTTTTTGTTCCCGTACATTTTGTTGTTACTCACTTTTTACTCTCACTTNTATCATGAAGTGTCAAGCGATCACTGGTTGACGTTTTTACAGGAAAATGTTTTTTTTGTTCCCGTACTTTTTGTTGTTACTCACTTTTTACTCTCACTTCAGAGAGTAATTTTGCTGTTTGACGATTTTACAGGATTTTTCACGAAAAGTATTGGATCAGAGCTATTACTCTTCGTGAAAAATCCTGTAAAACTGTCAAACAGCAAAATTACTCTCTGTGAAGTGAGAGTAAAAAGTGAACAACAAAAAGTACGGGTACAAAAAATCCATTTTTCATGTAAAACGTCAACCAGTGATTGCTTGGCACTTTTCATGATTTTACCAGAAGANTACAAAAAATCCATTTTTCCTGTAAAACGTCAACCAGTGATTGCTTGACACTTTTCATGATTTTACCAGAAGAAAAAGTTCGGACACAATCTTGCAACTTCATTCTCTACACAACTCTCCAAAAGTCGCTCTCATTTACAGGATTTTGGAGGACGGGAACATTTTTCCTGCAACTTCGTGTAAAATGCTGTAAGTTCATGGAGTACTGGATCAGAGCTATTGTAACCAAAGGCGTTTCCTATAAGGCTTACATCTTTTTTTAATTATTGCACTTTGAAACTTTTTTCCTTTCCGGAAATAGTTGCGAAATTCCAATTTTAAACCGCAAGCTTGCCAAATCTATGATTAAATCGTACGTCCTCTTTCTAGCGAATTCCCCATTTTCATTGCCACGAAATTACAGTAACATTTCCCCCCAAGGCGAATTTAATTAGGTGGTGTATTATTTCTCCTTGATTTCTCNGGTGGCAAAATTCCAATTTGAAACCGCAAGCTTGCCAAATCTATGATTAAATCGTACGTCCTCTTTCTAGCGAATTCCCCATTTTCATTACCACGAACATTTCCCCCAAGGCGAATTTAATTAGGTGGTGTATTATTTCTCCTTGATTTCTCCTACTTACCGGCTCTGCTCGTCATCCGAAAACGAGTTCGTTGCTGGCGAATTCGCAGTTGAAGACATGCTGCGTATATTCTTCGGTTCTCTGGTTCGATAGTTGGATATTTGCCACTTTTTTTATGATTTCGGCTTAAAACACAAATTCTAGACTGACTGAAAATGCGCCACCAATTCGACTACGCTAAACGGACCAATTAATTCGCCTGCTTCTCGGATAATTTCGAACTTCAATGTGAATGAACTAACTGCGCGCCATTTTAATTCCTTCGGTTCATGCCCGAATATGCAATTTTTAGTATGCAGCAAAATAATCTTATATTAATTTTCCAATTCGCTTCTAAAAAATCGTCTCGAATAGCTTTGTATATTTTTATGCATGAATATCTCGATATTAAAAGGCGCGACTTGCAAATACAGCATTGGCCAGCGGTAGAAAACACGATGCCGTGGGTGCGCACACTTCTGCCCAAGCCGGTGCTAAAACAACAACGCAATCTGTACTTACACCTTTTATCAATAAAAATTTCATAAATAGAAAACACTCAAGCTGTTGCAAATTCTTAAAATCTCTAATTATTATTTTCTTGGTTTACTCACCAGATTTTCAATGAGAAGCGTGCAGTTTTCTTCGAAGTTGCTGCCAGAGAACTTGAACAAATTAAATTTTCTCTGCTGCCGCTGTCAAAAAATTTGACGGTCCCAAATTATTTGGTCCTAAACCGATTCCGTAGCGCATTTGGTCCCAAACCGATTCCGTAGTGTATTTGGTCATAAACCGTTTCCGTAGTGCATTTTCTCCTAAACCGATTGGAACGAAGAGAAAAGAAAGTTTAATCAGCTGTTTTATGGGAGCGATATTTCTAACTAGACAATCGCAGAAAAGAATTTGTGGACAAACTTTGGTCAGCTTTGGAGCCCTTCTAAAAAAAAAAATGTCTGTACCGGTACCATTTGTCGTGCGGACGCACTCACGTCAAGTATGTAGTCTCTATAAACGGGCGGTGCGCAATCTGGAAGCTTGGTATGATCGCAGGTATGTGGAGGCAGCTGGCAAGGCATTCCGAAACAAATCTATTATGTAATTTTGTATTTTTTCCAGAAACGTATTCCGCTACAGAGCCGTACTGCTGCGTCAACGCTTCGAAAAGAATCGTGGTGTAACCGACATGGCTGAAGCTGCGCGTCTGCTCGCTGCCGGCGAAAAAGAGCTATTCGAGACGAAACACTTCCAACCAAGAAACTGTAAGTTTAGCGGGGTGAATAAGAATGAACAGCTAACACAGATATGTATATGACTTTTCCAGTTGCCAACAGTGTTGGTGGTTGCGCATTTGAGCGTGAGGTAATACCACCAGACTGGGTTATCGACTATTGGCATCCATTGGAGAAAGCACAATACCCAGAATACTTCGCCAAACGGGAACAACGCAAGAAGGAGTATGTTGCATGGTGGGAAAAACAGTACGGCAAACCAGACCCCAAAGACTTGGGACACCACTAAGGTTAAATCAAACGAGTTTAAGTGGTGCGCACAGTTAAACGAAAATAGTTTTACATCTGCCGTTCCAATCTCATAATGGTAAATAAAAAAAAAAATAAAATGGAAATTTAAGTATTTTTACTGCAGTGCGTGCGTTTCCACCTATACTGGCCGATTCTGAACAGAAACTCCCAGCGAGTTTGCTCTTTTCCCTTTCCTCCTATCATGAATAAAAATTCCCTGAGGATTTTTAATATTAAATGGCGGAGTTGAGCAGTCCAAAAAAGTATCAAACAGCTTTTTCGAAGTTCGAATTTCCTCCTCCCAAATTTTCGGGGAAAATGCTACTCCCTGGGAGTTAGTTATTGGAGGATTTCTTTCTCGGGAGAAACAAATTCCCGGAGAACAAATCCCCCGGGAGTATTAAGAATTGGGCTGATAGTAGAGGTATATGTATGTACANATCCCGGAGAACAAACTCCCCGGGAGTATTAAGAATTGGGCTGATAGTAGAGGTATATGTATGTACACCTACATATGTATGTAGTCGCTGCATCAAGAAATTTTGGTTGAATTACTACAAGTTTATTGTGTCGAAAATGTTGGGAGTAAGCATTTTCTAAAAGTCCCTGCATTGAATAACACAATTTTATATGCGTGCATGTGTGAATTTATTCTTTAGTACAAGTTATTTCCAAATATTTCATAAATGTGACTTGCGAATCTTACAAAATTTGCTTACATCCATACATTTAAAAAAGAATACCTTAACAACTAAGATGTAATAATGGCTAGGCGCAATGTCCGCACCATATTTAACAAACTTGCAGACAGATTTATTGTTGCATTAATTCGCTTTTATGTTCCCAGATCTATTGGAGAAAGCATTTGTATAAAAAAATATTTTTTCAAGTTCGAGTTTGTTTTCTTTTGTTTTACTTGACCTCTGGTGTGAGTTGGAGTTTCGTAGAAATGTTCGCAAACATTTTTAAATGAAAACCAATTTTTTCTGAAATTTAGTAGTTATTGAAAAACAAAATAAAAAATAAATGAAATCAGCATATAATCCATAAGTTCCAGCGCATCTTAAACACAAATTGATTATTTGTGCTGCACTCTACGCCCCACCCATTTCACAACTCACAATCCAACTCTTCTTTTTTTATAACATAATTTAATTCATTTCGATGGGTTCCAATCGGGGACGCTTTTTACAACTGTTATTCACCGTGCCATTTCCCACATTTCCATCGCCGCTATTGTGATCACGTTTCCTTGGTAGTGTTTTCTTGTCCCATTGCTGTTTTAGATACCTCAGCAGCACGCATCGTTTATCCATCACAATATGTTGCTCCGATGGTACGTCTTCCGTGGGTAGATATACAGAGGGTCGTTTTTGTGATGTACGAAGACCTTGTTCCATATTAAATTGCGAAAAGTTTTGTACATCGTGACTGGGAAGGTCCTTCAGGAAGTCTGCAACCGACATCTTGCTTGCTGGCAAAAGGAAGCGAATCGTTGCTAGGCTGTGGGTCTTAGTGTAAATGCAGGCGTCAGGTATTGCTTGGATGAGGTGTCCTCGCAATAAATTACGTTTATCTCGTGCTTTTATACAACTGTTGTGTATTTGCTTCGCACCACGCAATTGTTATTGCTATCGTAGCAGCAATTCGCTACTTCACTGAACTCGTGTATATATTCTCAATGCTTATTCGAAATATTACTGAATGAACAAAAAAACAAAAGATTACAATTTTGCAAATTAACAAGCGATCTAAAATATTAGGTGCTTTTACGCTATCTCGAAAGATTTTAGTTTCGTCCTTCCAAACTCTGCAAATTTTTGGCTTTGACTTCTGGTGGATTTTGCTTTATTGCTGTTTTCGTAATTCCAACATTTGACACATTGCTTAAAAGACAGGGTTGTTTCTAGAAAAACTCACAGTGGTGTAATATTTTGTATAAATTGACCCGTTTGGCAATTTTAATCGGTTTGTTATCGGAAAATATTTCGGANTTCTGGTGGATTGCTGTTTTCGTAATTCCAACATTTGACACATTGCTTAAAAGACAGAGTTGTTTCTAGAAAAACTCACAGTGGTGTAATATTTTGTATAAATTGACCCGTTTGGCAATTTTAATCGGTTTGTTATCGGAAAATATTTCGGACTTCGGTACGCGCTTCATACAAATTTTCCTTAATATCTTTAATAAAAAGTTCAATATGAATTATATTAAACCATGCGTGTCAACCAAGGCGCATCTAAATATGTAGAAATGCACCTTGATGTCAACTATAAATTTAATTGCNTCTAAATATCTTTAATAAAAAGTTCAATATGAATTATATTAAACCATGCGTGTCAACCAAGGCACATCTAAATATGTAGAAATGCACCTTGATGTCAACTATAAATTTAATTGCCAATAGACTATTGAAATAAAAGATATGTCTCGTAAATGCAATTTGAAAGTTTTCCTCTTAGTTATTACTTTATTTTTTAAATATATCGCCTAATTAATTAACTAAGTTGTAGCAAATAAGTATAATAGATTTTTCGCAAACTGTATAATTTCCGTTCCACCCAGCTTGGAAGTGCCATACACACGGTCCACAAAAGTTATGGGCACCTCACCAATGCTGAAGCCATGCTGGCGTGCACGTACCAACATTTCCATTTGGAAGACATATCCTTTCGACACACAACTGGCAATACATTTCTCGAGAACATGCTTTTTGTACAATCGGAATGAACCCGTCAGATCAGAAGCATTTGGGCGTAACAAAATTTGCGACAGGAAATTCGCACCACGAGAAATGAGCTTGCGCTTAAAGTCCCAACCAAATACACCACCATCGCCGCTATATCGTGTACCTGAGACTATATCGTAATCTTCTTTTGTCTGAAGCTCAATGAACTTGGGTATAAATTTGGGCTATCAAATAAAGAAAACAAATTGGATATACACATGCATATTTTGAATATGGCATCGCTTTTGTAGATATTAAAGCACTTACATGATGACTCAAATCAGCATCCATTATAATAATAAAATCTCCAGTCGCATGCTTGATGCCGTGTATGTACGCTGTACCAAGACCCAATTTCGATGCACGCGGCCGGAGCACTATTGTCTCTTCACCATAGATTTTCTGTAGATCTTTAGCAACATCCAAGGTTCCGTCAGGACTGCCGTCGTCTATTACAATTACCTCATATTTGTAGCCACTAAAAAGTTTAGGAAGACGTTTGTTTAGAATTGACATTGCATACTAATTGCAGTACTGATTTGATATCTACCTTTCACTAAGGTATTTAACAATAAGCCATACTATAATCGGTAAGTTTTCTTTCTCATTGTATGTGGGCAGCAAAATGCTATATTTATGCACACTTGTAGGCATTTTGCCGCACAATTTTGTATTTAATTTAATTTAAACCTTTTGCCACTTTTGCACACCAGCTGACGTGTTATCAAAATAAAATTAGAAGTGTTGCCAGAGCGTTATATTTGTATTATAACTGGGGGATTGCAAAGATTTGGTCCCTAACCGATTCCGGTAGTGCATTTAGCCCCTAACCGATTCCCGTAGTTCATTACAGCAGTTTCGTTGCCAGTGTGATCAAAAAATCGTAAAATCATCGTAAAAACGTAAACGCAAGTTTCGACTGTTATTCAACAAGAAAATTAAAGAAAACATATCCAGAGATCATCTCATGTTTAAATGTAGCCAAATTTTAAGTTTTAGTCCTGTGGAAATTTGTTTAATAAAAATAATTAATAAGTGTGTAACAACGTTTTGATACCACTGTTGGATTTATAAATATGCTGCTTCGTGCAGTTTTTGGCTCAACCTCCATTTACAACAGCGTTTTTTTTTATTTCCCGGGTCAAAAGGATAATGAACAAATTATGTGTCCTAAATTTTATAGTGAAAACTCGATATAAAACTCAATAAAATAAAATTTTTGATATTCCCCTGAAAAAAACCTCTCTGTTGCGAAATTTTCCAATCGAAAATGCTCCGTTAATATAACGAAGAAATTCTGAAAAGAACTTTTGGAACTTATTGACGTTTAAAAGTCGCGTTAGCAAAAGCCTCTACATATGTAAGACTCAAAAGTGTCCACATAGCGAATTCTAATAACGAAGTCTCGTCTCAAAAAAGAATTCTGAATATTTTGAAACATTTTTGAAATGTTATGTTATTAATATATATATGTATGTATAAATCACATCACTACCAAAAAAGTTTACCCAATTTACAAATTACTTAGAAAACTCCTATAAACGTTAGAATAGTACAAAAGACACGCACGTACACAAAAATGTACAGTGGAGTACGACATAATTTTCACATTGCTGTCCATAGAATGTTCATAGAATCTTTACCCAAGACACCAGATAAAGCTACCAGTAAAATTGGGGTATTTACCCAGTCTGTTCTGATAGGGATATTGTTAAGTATTCTCCAGGTAATGGAAAAAATTATTTTTTTCCTTTTTTTTTCAGTTACTTTCTATATCCAATACCATGGCGTAATAAAATAGCTTTCTCTCTTTATTTTCTGACATTCGGCTGACTGTAAAATCTTCAAATAAGACAGTGTCAAAAACTTCCGTCCCGCTCTAATTACTTCACCTGGTATAATTCCACCATTATCCCATCGAAAAATAAATAAACGCCCAACCCACACGTGCTTTCATGTTGTATGAAAAGACACCGCCAAATGAAAACAAACAACAGCTGCTTTTGACAACACCCACAAAGCGCATGCGTAATTTTTTTCGTTGTTACACAAATGTCAGACATGAAACAATTTTATCCTAGTTTTGGCATTTTGTAACACAAATGAGGGTGGAATTCGGTAGTTGCCTTGCAAACGGATACGTACTGATACATGCAGGACAGTTAAAAAGTTAGTCAAGGAAAATATACATAAGTGTTCACACGCTAAAACGCAGCTGTTGGTAAAAAAAAAAAAAAAAAAAAAAAAAATGTATAGTATATTTAAGCGACTATGTGATTAAAAAATAGTGAAAATAAAAACCAGTGCATTCAAAGAAGTACAGAAAAGTTAAAGAGCTGCGTTTAAAACAAAAAATTTAATTTAACTAGTGGCTA